CACTCTTTCTAACACTTTCTTACCAATACTCTGTTTACTATTGATTAAAAATAAGAAATTTTGATAGGTGTTATCACTTAATCAAAAGTGAAACTTATTAAAAGATACCAGATTCAAACGAAATTTGATTTCTAATAAATTTTGGCTAATAAAAAAAAGTGTTTAAAAGATCATAATAGATCGTAAATTATTAATGTTCTTAAAATTAAAACATCATAATAACATCTCTTAAAGACTTGGTCTACTAACCAATTATTCACCAACTAAACCACTAAGGCATCTTAATTACATCACTGACGTGCATTCAAATTTGGGGACTTCTTTGATCATGGCTCTAATCCTACTCATCCTTATTTTCCTGCACGTTCATTACTTACTTCCCTAGTATCTGCACCAGTTCCCTGCAAAAAAAAAAAAAAAAAAAAAAAACCATGAACTGTTCTGTTAATCTCCTAATAGAAAGCTTTAGATAATGATTTGTCAATTTGTTATATATGTTTATTAAGCATGTTTGGTTGATGCATATGCATTTCTTTTTGGTTACTATGTATCAATAGACTAGCTAAATGGTAATTTTTTACAATTAAATTTCCCTTTTAAGAATAGAGCATCTAAATATAATTATCAGACTTAAATTAGTGCTTCATAGAATCTTCAAGTCTACTAAATGTAACAAAGATATATACAAAGTTTTTTTTCAAGTAGTTAAAGGGTAATAACAAATTCAAAGGTCATAACTTCATCTTGTATGGTTTATCTTACCAGCAAAGGACGAGAAGTTACAGGTATCAAGTATAGGTCACCCTTTCTTCTAACAGCCGCTCCAAATTCCTCAGTCATGTCCATGTCCTCAACTTTCATTCCATTTGGAAGCTTCCAATCAAAATGATACAACAAGGTCGCAAGGGCCAACTCAATATGTATTGAAGCCAAGGTGATGGCTGGGCACATTCTTCTTCCAGCACCGAATGGAATGTACTCAAAATTTCCCCCTTTGTAGTCAATAGAGCTATCAATGAATCTCTCTGGATAAAATCTATCTGGTTCAGTCCAATGGTTAGGATCTCTTCCAATAGCCCAAGCATTGATAATTATCTTACTTTTGACAGGTACATGATACCCATGAATCTCACATGCTTGTCCATTTTCTCTTGGAAGTAAAAGAGGAGCTGGGGGATGTAACCTTAGGGTCTCCATGACAATTAATTTCAAATATTTGAGTTCTTTTATGCAAATTTCATCTACCCTTCCTTTCCTATCGAATACCTCCCTCACCTCAATTTGTGCTTTCTTCATTACTCTTGGATCCTTTATCATCTCTGCCATTGCCCAATTTATGGAAGTTGATGTCGTTTCACCTCCAGCACCAAATACATCCTGTAAAGTAATGATCATTGAGTTTCAGATAATGCAATGATATCCAAATTATAGTTATTGATTTTAGTTTCTAATGTGAGAGTTTAATTACTAGTGTAAAGTGCAGTTACAACTATTACTTAGAAGATGAAATGTTTAGATTGAGAAAAATTCATACTATGAAGTTGATAAAATAACTTAGCACTTGATTTTCCAATTAGTAGTCATAACTTTGCGCTAACACACCCCTCACTTCGAAGAAGTAAAACTCAAAAGGTATATGCAGAAGCCATCCAATAAAACAAGTAGAAATTGCCACATACAGCATAAATTTAATTAAAGATCTCGTATTTAAGAGGTTTTGATTTTAGTATTAAACAATCGTCTAAGTTTAAGGGAGGAGCAAAATAAAATGAACTAAACTTAATATATTAAATAGCAATGAAATTAAAAACAATTTACTTAAATAGAACGGAATTAAAAATTAGTTTAGACAATTCAACTAGACTACTTTTTACTTCATTGAATTGAATTACAAATTAAAAATTTGAACAAGACTACAATTTGAACTAAACAATTATTTTAGTGCTTTGAAGTGAATTCTTTTAACTGATAATGTCGAATCACACCAAATTGACTCATTTTATTTTACATTTTTATTTCATTTTAGAAAGGAAATTTTTAAAAATTGACATACCAAATAGACACAATAAATTTCAAGTTTGAGAATTAGTTGCTTAATCTAGTTAGCCTACCAAACCAAATTGACCAACTTTTTTTCAAACCATTCTTTAGAAGTAGTTCATTTTTGTCACCTCTAATTTTTACCTAAATATAAAAATATTTTAGTTTTTATAGTTCAATTTAGTTTTAAAATAATCCAATTTTTCTTTAAAAAAAATAGTTTAGTTTGATTTTTATTTTATGAGAATAGACCAATTATTTCAATAGTAAAGTTAAACAATTTTTTGCTCACCACTATTGAGTTCTATAAATATAGGAGCAAGATTAACATAATCACTACAAGAAATGTTACATAAAGTGACTTACAAAAAATGTTAATATAAATACAATATATGTAGATATAAATGTATTTGACATATAGCTACATAAATTTTTTGTGTTGATTATGAATTAATTTTAACAACATATATTATGTATCACTATAATTTATACATACATTTTTTAACAATCTATCAACATATATTGTATTCATTGTATAAGTAAAAGTAATTTTTAGTGACAAATATTGTCATTACAAGAAAATTGTTATATAGTGACATACTCTATAGTGACACAATACGTGTCACTTAAAACTACTTTTGTTCCCACAATAACTATAATATATGTTGATACATTATTAAAAAGTGCAGGTATAGACTATAATGACACATAAAATATGTTGCTAAATTTCATTCAAAATCAACATTAAAATTATGTGTAATTATATGTCATTACTAGAATTTTTCTTATTACATGCAACTTTTCATGCGAATTTTGTATTAAAATTCGCAGCAAACATTATTCCTACGAAGTTTTTTGCGAAATTTTATCCGCAGATAATACTTTCGTGGGTAATATATTTTTGCAAATTTTAAAATTCGCAAGAAATTTTCCTGCAAAATTTCTTGCGAAAAAAATTCGTAGGAAAGTTTCCTACAAAAAGAAATTCGCACGAAAATTTCTTGCAATTTTTTTCGCAGGAAATTCTACAGGAATATTTTTCATGAAAAAAAAAAGAAATTACAACAAATTATTGAATTCATCCGAAACATTTGTTTTCATGCCTTCAACATGTGATACATAATCTTTTAAATTTTAAGATTGTAGATTATAAGTCTAACACTCAACCATACAAATCAACTTGTAAGGTAAGTGTTGTCCCAACTTATATACTCTTTAATTGTTATATTTTCAATTGATGTGGGACTTAAAGTTTTTTTTAAAATATTAAACTTATAAATTTAAATATATTTTTTTATTTTTCCTGCAGATTAAAATTGGCAAAAAAAATTCGCAGATAAAAGTTACATGCGAAATTTTTCTACCATTTAGTAAACATTACCTGCGAATTTATTTTTGCAAGAAAATTTGCAAGAAACAAAATAAAATTCTTACAATATTTTCTACAAATTTTTACCATGGGAAAATTTTTTTATGATCATTAAAATTGTAGCAAAATTTGCAAAAATTTCTTGTAGATTATTTTTCATAAAAAAAATTGTAAAAAATATCTGTAAGTTATTTTTTGCAAATAAACTTCGTAAAATTTTTTGGTGAAATTATTATTGCAAGAAAATTCGTAAAAAACTTCTGCAAATATTTTTTTGTAGGAAAATTCGCATGAAAATGACACTTTTCTAGTAGTGACATGAATATTTTTTTGGCATTACCAATTCAGAATTGCTGATTAGTTCTATATATATATATATATATACATATAGTGATACTTTTTGTATGTCACTGTATGTAACATTTTTTATAGTATGTGTTACTATATGACAATTATTTCTTTTAGCAAATAAAAGAAAGAATTTACAATATGTATTATCCTATTCCTTACGGGCCTTACCTGTATTATAGCCTTCATATTGTTAATTGTTAAGCAAAAGTCCAAGTTACTATCATTACCATCCTGGAATTTTAGGAGAACATCTACCAAATCTTCTTGTGCTCCTTCTTGGCCTTCTTTGGCTTTTGACTTTGGCTGTTTGTGTTCATTGATCATGATTTCTAGTAGCTGTTCAACTTTTCTTTGCAGCCTCTCAATCTTTGGCCTCAAACCAGTAACAAATTGAAGCCAATTAGCAGAAGGAAACAAATCTGCTACGGTCAACCCTGCAGCAACTGGTACCGCTTCGTTTAACAGTAAGATGAATTCGTCTTGGAGTTTGCATCTTTCGCCAAAAATAATTCTTGAGATGATGGTAAATATCGTTGAAGATATTGTTGCTGTGAGGTTGATGGGAGACCCATTATGAGAAGCAACCACTTTAACGAGATTGGTGAACTCTTCTTCTCTTATCGGTTGGAATGAGTTGACACGCTTTCGGGAGAAAAGCTCTATTGTACATATTTTTCGTACCTGTCTCCAATAATTTCCATAAGTTGAAAAAGCAATATTTGTGTATCCATAAGACACTATATCTGTAAACAGCATGCGAGGCCTTGACGCAAAATTGACATCATGGGTTTTCATTATCTCCTTAGCATACTCCGCTGAGGAAACAATGATTGTGTAGACTTCTCCAAGTTGTAGATGCATGAAGGGTCCATATATTTTGGCCAAGTCTCTTAATTTATGATGTGTTGGTGTTGATGTAACAAAATAGGGTATATTTCCTATAATTGGCAGCTTCCATGGTCCTGGAGGTATATTTGGAGATGAGTTGGTTCTCTTAACATTTCTCCATATTTTCAGTGCAACAATCGTGAAGAGGAAAAAGGGCGTGACAAGGGTTAGTAAGTTATGTATATTAGAATCCATGAAGATAAAAATGAGTTGTAAAGTGATGGTGTTGAACAGAGAAGAAGAGTTGAATATTTGGAATATGGTTGTTGCTTATTACTTGTTATTTATGCTTTCGAGAAAGGATTTCAATTTTAAGATGAAGAGCAGACACGTAAAGATAAAAATATAGGTGTAATAAAAGATTAAAGTTTAATTATAATTTTATGTGCATTTGATATAGCATAATAAACATATGGTGGTCCTTAAATAGATTTTAGATAGTTATCACAATATTTAATATCATTTAATTTATTCGTTAATTTTGCAAGTAAATCTTAAAAACTTATTAATAATGACATTTTAAATTTTATCTTTTTCTTTCCTTTTGTTTTCATTTTTTAATTCAAATGTTGTTTTCCCCTCCTTAATCCATAAAAAAATTAAATAACTTATTATCATATTGAATTTTTTAAAATAAATCTATTGTTTTATAAAGAAATTTAAAATATTAATCATAATAAAGATCTCTAAAATTATTTCAATTTCTTAAATTTCAACTAAATAATATACAAAATAAATATATATTAGGGTTAAATATATTTTTGATCCTCCAAAATTTAACTCTATTTGGTTTTAATCCCTCCAAAAAAATCATTTTGATTTTAGTCTTCCAAATTTATATAATACCAAATTTTAATTCTTTTTTAAAAACTATTAACTTTATTGTTAAAATAGGTCACCTCAAAATCTAAATCACCATAAGTTTTATTGACATCAAATTTTTAAAATTTAAAATATATATTAATCATTTTTGGGTTATATTATGTTTTAAGATAAAAACTAATTATACATTTAAAATTTTTTACTATTCACTCTCAGAAACAAGTATGAAGGTTCCAATAACTCCCTTTTTACTGGAACAAAGAGTCCCCTTATAACACGCCATTTTTCATAATATATATATATAAGGAACAATATATATATATATATATATATATGAGGAGGTTTATAATTACATCGATGTAACTTTTACTAAGTATTACACCGCTCAATAACTTTATATTAAATGCAAATTTTGTAAATCCAACCATTAGATTGAAAGTTCATATCATTTTATACGTGTATATCAAATTTTGTTAAAATTGAACAATAACTTGAAGGTAATCAAAATGTTCATATTTTAGTGTATTTTGAAATGAATATATTATGTTAATTTTGTTTTATACAAATGAAGTATCAAATCATCTTGGATTAATATAAAATTTTGTATATATGATCAAAAAGATATGAACTTTCAATTTAACGGTTGGATTTACAAAATTCGCATTTAATATAAAGTTATTTAGCGGTGTAACACTTAGTAAAAGTTATATCGGTGTTATTATAACCTCCCTCATATATATAATATTTTATTAATAATTTTGGTATTTTTATTTTTATTAATAGGATTTGTTAAGTATTTATTTAATTATTTAATGTATTTTAGAATATAAAGTGTATTATCATTTTTTTTATTAAAATGTTTTATTTTATTAAATTAAAAGGCGAGAAAATTAGTAACTAAGGTAAAGTGTTTTAATTGGAGGGCTAAAGAGAGATTAAGGTTTTTAAAAGAACAATTTTCTAATCAGACCCTTTTAAGCTTTTATTTTATGTACTTTCTTTAGAGCTTAGAGAATATGAGCAAAAAGGAAACCACCTCAGAGTCTCACATCTGTTATCTAGTGCTTACCTAGGTAAGGGGAAGTGAGAAACCTCACTTTGGATGTAGGATTATATGTTGGATAGTGGGATTAGCCCCCTAGTCTTGTATATGTTGTATGTTTATGCATGAAGGGTTTCCCCAAATGCGTCTACTTCGCCTCTTGTTCTTATACATTCCCAGTGCAATGAATTGTTTGAATGATTAATCAATTATATGTTTTGAATTGTAATTGTATGATCTAAGGTCCTTCTAGGTCCCCATAGGGAACCCTAAAGGAATGCATTGATAATTGTATGAGGAGATTGCTTTGATAGGTAATTGTATGCATGAATTATGTTGTTTAAAATGATTATTACATAATTTGGAATGTTTTTACCGATTAGATGTTCTCTTTTGATGAATTCTAGTGATGGAACGAGTTTCGAGGTCCAAAAAGTCAAAAATTGCACGATCAGGTTCTGTTACGGGTGTGACCGGTGAGTCATGTTTGTGATTGATCAGTCATCGTCATAGGCATGATCGATGAGTCATGGTCATGAATCATTTGGATCTCGACCCTTTGGATTTCACCGAGCTAGTCACGAGTGTGACTTATTAGTCATAGGCATGATCGATGTCACGACTATGATCCATGAGTCATGGTTGTGACCCATACTGATGCTAATGTTTCTCATTTTTTCTTGTCTTCTTTGATTTTTTTTCTTTTCCTTTATTACTTGAGATAAGTTGTGTTCATCAATTTGAGATACTATATATGATACTTTATACTTGTGTATGAACCATGTATGAAATGGATGATGTATTACCTTGTGATCTGGATACTACCTTTTTACTAATGATTAGCTTATGTATTCGAGAATGTACATGAGTTCTATGATGTGATATGAGGAATATATGATATATGAATGTAATGCATTGAGTTTTTCTGACATACATCATATGAATAAAAGTATTCTTAAGGGTACAATAAGGAATACATCATTAAGGAAATCCCCCTTGTGTAAAATCTTGGGGATCAATCCTTACGGATAGCTTGATTTGGGAAAACCCCAGTCTTATACTCATGTGCATGGGACATATCTTGCGCGACTTATCTATCTCGACCAAACTTTGGTAGTATTTTCTCCTAGTGAGAGTGCATAGATAGTGTGACCTGACATGTACTCCTAGGCTACTCTACCTGTATTGCAAGTGGCAATGCACAAGTGTGATGTGTGATGTTTTTACTGGTGCCACATGCATGATAATATGTAGTCTATGTTCATTGCATGATGCATTATAATGTATCTATTATTGTTTATTATGTTATAACTAAATAAGTGTCATGATAATGTTTATCTATGTATGTTATTCCTTGTTGTATGCCTTATTTGTGTTTGACTATCTGATTTGCATTCTTGCACCGTGAGCCAGAGTGAAGTATTTCTCACTCCCTTTACTTTGTGTTATTTTCCTTGTTTGTTATGTAGGTGATCCTTAACAAAGGTTGAAGATGTTGGTGATGAGGCTTAGGCTTCAATGTTGGGTTTTGCTCTAATAGGACATGTGATATTGGGGCATAGCTAGGACTAGATTAGAAGGATATTCTATTAAATTATTTTGGACATATTAAATTTATTTTCTTGCAATTTCATTTGGTTATGTTAGTTTTTTTACATTAAAAATGTGATACTTTCTATCTAAACATGTTTGGTATATTTTTAAAGAATTATGTTATTCAAATTCTATTAATTATATGTTATGGTATGTGGGGTTAAGGGTGTCACATTTAGGGGTATCAAAGCCTGATTGATTTAAACCAGTCGTGTGTGTTGTGTGTCTATTTGCATTTTCATGCATTATCTGATTGTGTATTTGTTATGTCTTAAGTTATAGTTAATATGTTGTTATTGTTGTGTGTCAAAGTTATAGCTAGTAGGAATGATTGCATTATTGTTAACGTTTTTCTAGTGTTAGTAAATACTATTAGGACTGATAGAGCTAGAGATCGATGCTCCTACTAATTAGAGCATTTTTAGCGTATCCATCCACCTTCTTTCAAAGGAGGATATGACCTAAAAGGTTCAATGATCTGGTTGATCAAGATAAAGAAAATTTTCAAGGCAATGAAATGCTCTAAGGTGACCTTGGCTACCTTTTCGCTGACATTTGATGCTTACTTCTAGTGGGAAAAATCCTTGCAAAGAATTATGGCTAAAGCAACACTGGTCAACTAGGATAACATCAAAAGGGTTTTCCTTTAGAAGTATTTCCCTGATGATGAGGAGTTAGAAAGAGGTGGAATTCCTTGAGCTAAAACAAGTGGATGGTATAGTTGTTGAATATGTCGCTAAGTTTGATGAGCTTGTCTACTACTGTTCTCACTACCATTGTGAGGGTGGTGAAAGGGCTAAGTGCATCAAATTTGTGAATGGCATTCATCTTGATGTGAAGACAACAATCAACTACCAAGAGATCTACCACTACCCAATGCTTGTGAACAAGTGTAGAATCTACAGTCATGACAACCGTGCACGCATTAATTGCTACAAGGGAGGTGGTCATGTTCATGATGAGAGATTTGGTGGTCAAAGTAGGAGTAAGCCTTATTCCACTCTTGCCAAGTTTCAAGGGAATCATGCTAGAGGTAGTGGAAGCAAATATGTTGTTGGAGGATCTTCTGTGAGTGGAATTACAAGTGTAGAAGGCTCTATTTCTACACTAGCCAATAGCTGCGAGAAGTGTGGGTGACATGGGCATGAGCACTACAACTGTCCTAACAAGGAGATCACACATTTCAACTACAAAGGCAAGGGCCATATTAGTACTCATTGTTTGTAGTCGTCGAAGCCACATATAGCTAGAACTAGTTCTCAATTTGAATGTCTAAAAGCTACAAGAAGAGTATTTGCTCTCAATTTGAATGTCTAATACAAGGTATTTGTTTCATAGATGACAATCCTTTTTTTGTATTATTTGATTATGGTGTAACCATTCTTTTATTTTTCTTTCTTGTTTCCAAAAATTGAAATTACTCATGTCTTGCTTGAATTATGATCTGATTGTGGTCCCATAAATACTTCTAGTATTTGTCTTAAGTGCCCCATTTTTATTTCTAAAAAGCAGTTTCTAGTTGACCTTATATATTTGCCTCTTAGTCAACTAGATATCATTCTTGGAATGGACTGGTTATCTTCCTATCATATCCTAATAAACTATTTTGAAAAATCTATTTATTTCGGAAAGAGTAAAAGTGTGGAATTTTTAAGTGCTAATAAAATAAAAACATGTTTAAAAGAAAATGATAGGGTATACATGATTCTTACCTAGTTGAAACTTGAGAAAGACAATGTATTTAGTAATATCCCCTTAGTGAGTGAGTTTCTTGAGGTTTTTTTCTAAGGATATGTTTAGCTTACAACTTGAGAGAGAGATTGAGTTTTCC